AGCACCCCATATTGACAGAAAAACACGGAATTGTTGACATTTTTGCAGATTTATTAAAAAAGTAAAACTGAAATATCACATGGTCCTACGTATTCAGACCCTTTGCTCAGTATTTAGTATAAGCACCCTTTTGATCTAATACAGCCATGAGTCTTTTTGGGAAAGATGCAACAAGTTTTTCACACCTGGATTTGGGGATCCTCTGCCATTCCTCCTTGCAGATCCTCTCCAGTTCTGTCAGGTTGGATGGTAAACGTTGGTGGACAGCCATTTTTAGGTCTCTCCAGAGATGCTCAATTGGGTTTAAGTCAGGGCTCTGGCTGGGCCATTCAAGAACAGTCACAGAGTTGTTGTGAAGCCACTCCTTCGTTATTTTAGCTGTGTGCTTAGGGTCATTGTCTTGTTGGAAGGTAAACCTTCGGCCCAGTCTGAGGTCCTGAGCACTCTGGAGAAGGTTTTTGTCCAGGATATCCCTGTACTTGGCCGCATTCATCTTTCCCTCGATTGGAAGGGTTCTGGTCGTCCCAAATGTCTTCCATTTAAGGATTATGGAGGCACCTTGTGCTTTAGGAACCTTAAGTGCAGCAGAAATTTTTTTGTAACCTTGGCCAGATCTGTGCCTTGCCACAATTCTGTCTCTGAGCTCTTCAGGCAGTTCCTTTGACCTCATGATTCTCATTTGCTCTGACATGCACTGTGAGCTGTAAGGTCTTATATAGACAGGTGTGTGGCTTTCCTAATCAAGTCCAATCAGTATAATCAAACACAGCTGGACTCAAATGAAGGTGTAGAACCATCTCAAGGATGATCAGAAGAAATGGACAGCACCTGAGTTAAATATATGAGTGTCACAGCAAAGGGTCTGAATACTTAGGACCATGTGATATTTCAGTTTTTCTTTTTTAATAAATCTGCAAAAATGTCAACAATTCTGTGTTTTTCTGTCAATATGGGGTGCTGTGTGTACGTTGAGGAAAAAAAATTAACAAATGATTTTAGCAAATGGCTGCAATATAACAGAGTGAAAAATTGAAGGGGGTCTGAATACTTTCCGTACCCACTGTATGTATGTTATGTTTCATAATTAATGATAGAAGTTCTAAAATTGACCTGACCAAAATGTTGATACTATGTGAAAATAAATAGTGCAATAATAATTTGCACTATGGAATTACAAAAGAACAATACAAATTTAAATGAAACAAATTTTTGTTACATTGTGTAATAATTTGTGTAATAATGATATATTATTATTCTTATTACTTTTATCATTATATTGATTGCATACTATTATTTATTTTTAGCCCAATCTTATGTTAGAGCCATAACTTTCTGTTTAAATTAGAGGAAAACAGGAACTATAAAGCTTGGATAACTCCACAGCTTTGGAGTCATGTGCTGATGACAAACCGTCCATGACACACCAGATTTGATGAATTAAATGGTCAGGTAATGACTGGGTTTTTTCTGTAGGCTCTAGGGCCTGTAGGCTCTAGGCTCTATTTTGTAATAGAGAAGCAGAGTGAAAGACAATTTCTTACTGCTCAATCTTCCTGTAGAGCAATACTGCCATCTTGTGGCACGATACTGTAATTGTGCTGCTTTGTAGTTCTGTTTGGAAAAATGATGGGTCGCCCTCATAAGACTCTTGTCATTTTGGTAATCTGAGATGGAGAAAAATCTTCCTTATACTTTTGTGCTTTGCTTATTTTCGTTTTCTTTCCTCATACCACAGTGAAAGATGTGAGATAAAGTCTGTTTCTTATGCAACATATTACATGTGGAATCTTGTTTTGTCAATGCAGAACTGCCTGATCCGTGTGACCTCGCGTGGCAGGGAGGCCGTGGTCACTGATTTCGGGCTGGCCAGAGAAGTGGGGGATCTGCCCGCAAAAGACCCCGACAGGAAGTTGTCTCTGGTGGGGTCGGCCTTCTGGATGGCCCCTGAAATGCTTAGAGGAGAGCCGTACGACCGCAAGGTACTGAGAACAGAATGCTGTACCAATGAAAATGAGACGTCCGACTTTGAAAACGAAAGTGTAGAATAGGACATTTATGGTTGAATAGTCTTTTTCCTGAAAATTAAATTAGTATTGATTTACTGACAGATTTCACATTTATCCACAGAACCGTTTCACATTAACCCAAATTAACCTTCTGATTTGATGCCATCTTTCATAGGTCGGGGCTGAGGTAGAGATTTGGAAAGTCATTTATAATGAGTAACAGATACAATAAACTGTGAGCTGTTTCTGCCTCACTGTCAGGGATAAAGAGAGAGCCGTTGCCGGTACTGTTGTGATTAGAGACTGAACTGAACCTCTGCTGACTGGCCGTATTCTCCTGTTTAATCATAGGTTGATGTCTTCTCTTTTGGGATCATGTTGTGTGAGATCTTAGCAAGAATCCCTGCCGACCCAGAGGTGCTGCCCAGGACACAGGTAAACAGTCCTTCAGTCCTTCCTTATTTAAATATATGTTGTGATTTGTAGTGATCAGAATACTAAAAAACAACACTATTGAACCATTGTTTTAACATTAGAAATTAGTGGGACAAACTTTCATTGCTCCTATCTAAATGTTTTTCTTAAAGACATTTAAGAATGTCTTTAAGACTTTTTTATTCAGCATAGGCAAATCAATATCTTTTGTTCATTTACACTAAATTGTTACACAGAATACATAATTTAGCACTTGCATTAGCTCTGGGATGATTACAGTACCTACAACCCCTTGAGAGAGACGTGTTATGTCGCGTGAATTAATATGGTTCTCTTCACTGCATTGGGGATGAAAGTAAGGTCAGACAGAGTGATTGCGCCCTAGTGTACAGCAGTGTGGTCATTTACACTTCATTAATGCTGATGGACAGCCGATGATGTCTGGAGGGGAGAGAACAGATAGATCTGATCTGATCTAGGTCAAGGGAACCATCGCACGGACATTTAGATTCTTTAGTATGGATTTATTCATCGCGCTCTTCCGTCACATCAAGGATAATGATTTTCTGGTCGATCTACATTTTCACTGTAGTTGTTAATAAATGTATGAGGCTAAAGACACGTGGTTATCGTATGTACTCTACCAGTCGAAAGATAAAAAAATAAAAAATGTTTTTGAAAGAAGTCTCTTATGCTCATAAAGGCTGCATTTATTTGATTAAAGAGTAAGAAGTTTGTTTATAGTTTGTTCGTATTTTCTGGTGAGATATAATTTATTTGTAAGGTTTGTGTCACAATTTTATCATGAAATATAGTTTGTTGGCTTTTTTTGGTGAAATATAGTTTGTTTCGTATAATTTTCTTATGAAATTGTAAAAAAAGTCTTACAATTTTCTTGTGAAGTATAGTTTGTAAAGTTTTTGTAATTTTCTGGTGAAATATAGCTTCATTCTAAAGTGTTTTCTATAATTTTCTGGTGAAATTGTGAAGTTTGACTTACAATTTTCTGGTGAAATACAGTTTGTTTGCAAAGTTTGTTTTGCAATTTTCTGGTGAGATATAGTTTGTAAAGTGTTTCTCATAATTTTTTTTAAAAAATGTCTTACAAATTTCTGGTGAAATATAGTTTGTAAGTGTTGTCTTGCAGTATTTTTTTTTATTTTTAATTTTAGATTGTTTATCATAGATAATATACTTTTTCTAGTGAGACAATTTGTTTAGGATCTTTTTGATGAAATGCATTTTGTTGGTTAAGTTTGTCCTACACTTTCTTAGTAAATTATTATTTTTTTTGTCTTTGACCCCTCTGAAGAAATGCAGTGTTTTCAAATTGGCATTAAAAAATTTTTGAGAGAGACAATTTGAAAAGTTTGCTATGAGCTCGTGATGAAATGCAGAATGCATTTTAAATTCTGCGACAATCTTTTAGTATGCAACATTTCCATGTTCTTTCAAAGGAAAGAGTAAAAGGTAAATTGACATCAGTGTGTGATCTGTTGACAGGACTATGGGCTGGATGTGGAATCGTTCAGAGAGCTGGTGCAGGGCTGCCCAGAGCGGGTTCTGGAACTCTCTGCCAGCTGTTGTCAGGTATGAAGTAGCGACTCGAGGGTCATGTTTATTATGGTGTGACTGTGAATAGAACTAATAACTGTCAAGTGAGAGATTTCACCTTCAGCATTCATAATGTGGCTCCATGAATCACCTGGTTAACTGTTTTGAAGGTGTATATATATAACAGATTCAATGAAACACCAAAGCTTATCATGTTTTTCTCTTTCTATCAGATGGATGCATTCCGAAGACCTTCCTTCTCTGAGCTCCTGGATGAGCTAGAGGACATCGCTGAGACCCTAGAGCCACCAGACAACAACCTAACCACAGGGTGACCTCCACAAATACCTCCTAACAAACCCCTGGACTGAAGGATTTAAGGGACTGTGCTACATAAGAGCCTGCAGCAGTGGACCGTGACTGGCACTCTGTTCTCCCAAGAGTAGAATATACAGGGGAATGTCTGGTAATTGAGGACAAAATCTCTCAACTGAATGTTCGCTCAATAACCAGTTCTGGATGCCCTCCCTGCAGCGTGTGACACTGAATGATTGCGAGAGTCCATTTGAGAGGCTGAATTTTACCTTCTCTATTTTTTATTTCATATAGATTAAAGTAATACTCTTTAGGGACCAACTTGTCAGCTGAATTTTTTAAAAGACCAAATTCTCTACGAGCCATTCCTGATTTATATGGGTTTCAGGAAAATGTTTACTTTTTTTTTTTTTTTTTTTTTTCAATAAACAGCAGAGGTTGCACAAACCTGGAACAAACCAGACCAGAGAAATTAAGTTGTCCTATATTTAATTTTACCTATATTTTATTCTGTCACTACATTTACCAAATAATTGCACACTTGCTTATTTGACGTGTACTGTTAATGTCACCTATTTATGCCTTGTTGTACTTGCCATGTCACCCATTTTTTTCCCACTGTTAACATCCATGTCTGATTGATGGAGCTCTACAATATTTGAATTTATTGAAAGGATAGCCCCTTAAGATGTAACATCTCATTTTCAAGGGGGTCCTATAAACACAAAAACTAAATATTACAACATAAACAAAACATACATACGAAACATGAACACACAAATATACAAAAACAAAAGACATGCTCAACCAGTCCCCTGCAAAAATATGGTTGTAGAATCTGCATAGAGATACATTTTTTTTATAACAGAGTTTATGCACAAATACATTGTTCAGCTTTTATGACTAAATTAATTGAACTATCACACACACAAAAAATAACAGTACAGAGCTGTTTGTTAATGTACTACAGTAAGGGCTGTGGAATCACTGTTTTCTCAGGTCACACTGGGGTTTTATGTGAATATTCTCATATTAGTTGGGTCTTGTACTTTGTCCTTGTACATATGTTTGTATAGTCCTTTCTCAGATGTTTAACTAGTTTAAACTTGTGTTTCTAAACTAGAATCTATTTTGTTTACTGAATCTAATAGAACTGTTTGTTTTATTCCTGACTCTATTTGTGTATATGGTGCTTGGTTACATTCAAATATGTATATTTTCTAGTATATTAGTTACACCAATAAAAGCATACTGATTCGTTTTCAGGTTTTGACATTTATCGTAACCCAATTGAGCAATAGCTATAAAAAAAAAAAACTATTATTTAAACCAATAAAAGCATATTGATTAGTTTTCAAGTTTTTTGACATTTACGAAAACAATTAAGGAACATCCATCAAAAATCAATACGTCCTTATTAAACTCTTTTAGACTACATAAAAAGCTCTACTTAAATCACGACAGTAACTCAATATGATAAGTACTTTGGCATGATGAAAGCAAGTTTGATTTGTGTCCTACTGTGTGTGAATGGAGCAGTGCTTTTTTTTGTCATTGGTATTCAGGGACAGTTCAAGGGTCTTGCTTGCTTTCTCTGATGTGGGTGTCTGCATTACTGCCCGTGTTCTCCTCTGTAATTGAGGTGACGGAGGCCATGGATTTACCGTTCTGACAATGCTTTGTGCTCGAAAGTTCGATCTCCACCTGGCCAGCCCTGTAAGAGACATGACACGGGTGATGTTAATTTATGATCATGGAAAATGAAAAAAAAAAATCCATTTGGAGGCCACCAGCCGTGTGAAACGAGAGCACTTGGTGGTAAACGGCACGTATGACGCTTCCTGCAAGGAAATGCATGTGGGTGATAGTAAGTGGGTGTCATTTCTGCTGGGAAATATGTTCCTATGGCGGTTGTAAATGACCCTGGTGTAACTGAACGTAGCAAATATATTGATGCAGGCCTTATTATATGGGAAATGCAATCTGTGTCTCTCAGTACAAGGCTGTCATTCTAGTGATTAATTGAAACACATCCTAAGCACACTTGCCAAGATATAATAATATAAAAACCTATTATGCTGATAAAAATGAGTCTAAGTGTAAATTTAAAAAATGCATGAATTTAGCAAATCAGTTCCTGCTCCAACACACCTGTCTGATTATCAAGCATTCCTAAGATATTAATCAATAGAGTATTGGGAAGATGTATTTTTTGTAGGCCTAAACCCTGACGTGACAAGTTAGTATTTTAGTACTTCAGTTTCCATCGTCCTTACGTTAAAGGGGTCATATGACGTTGCTAAAAAGAACATTATTTTGTGTATTTGGTGTAATGCAATGTGTTTATGCGGTTTAAGGTTCAAAAAACACATTATTTTCCATATAATGTACATTATTGTTTCTCCTCTATGCCCCGCCTTTCTGAAACGCGCCGATTTTTACAAAGCTCATCGGTCTGAAAAAGTGAGGTCTGCTGTGATTGGTCAGCTATCCAGTGCGTTGTGATTGGCCGATTGCCTCAAGCGTGTGACAGAAATGTTACGCCTCTTACCATACTGTGATGCCGTCTCCCGGAGCGACGAGACAAAACCAGTAAAACCCATTACAAATGAGGCATTTGTTGCATCCAGTGGGGACATAATTACTGATTATAATGACTTATACTGTCTTTTTATGCGTTGCGTATTGCGCTGCGTAAACATAAAACCATGTCTGCATTTGTGATCGGAGAAACAACAAACGCTACTCTACACTGCTCAAAACTCACGTTTGAATCATCAGTGGCAAATTATTTAAATATAAAAAACATACTTACAGGCTGTGAGTCAGAAGCGCCAGACTGTCCTTACAAAGTTGGAACTGCCCAACTTTATAGAAACAGCCTTTGTGCCACAGACGCATTGTAGGCTACTGGTTCAGGAAACAAGTCCTCATCCTCCATAAAATGCGCAGCACACATCTGAATATTTGGGTTGAACTGTTCTGGAACAGTGTTGTAAATACAACTTAACCACTGATTTCTCAGTGAGGACATAATTATGGATTATAATGACTTATACTGTCTTTTTACTCGTTGCATTGCATCGCGCAGCGTAAACATAAAACCATGTCTGCATTTGTGATTGGAGAAATGACAAACTACAAACGCTTCTCTACACTGCTCAAAACTCACGTTTTAATCATCATTGGCAAATTATTTAAATATAAAAAACATACTTACAGGCTGTGAGTCAGAAGCGCCAGACTGTCCTTACAAAGTTGGAACTGCCCAACTTTATAGAAACAGCCTTTGTGCCACAGACGCATTGTAGGCTACTGGTTCAGGAAACAGTCCTCATCCTCCAGAAAATGCGCAGCACACATCTGAATATTTGGGTTGGGTTCTGGAACAGTGTTGTAAATACAACTTAACCAGTGATTTCTAGTCGTGTCCTCTTTTGGAAGGCCAAACAAAGTAGTTTCGCTTTCACAA